ATGGAACCATACAACCCTCCACAACATTTTCTTAACTTTGAAAGTCACATTCAACAACAAGACCCAGAGTATGGCCATGCGTTGGACAAAGAGTCTTTTGTTTATCCAACATGAACTCTATTTCTTGGACAATGTTTCATAACAAAAGAACAAGTTCAAGATGCCATCAACTGCTTTCACATTGTCAATCACTGCACATACAAGGTGAAAATTTCAAACCAAAGTAGATATGATGTTGAATGTGTTGATAATCAATGCAATTGGAGATGTCGAGCAATATTGCGCACAAGAGAATAATATTGGGAGATTATAAAGCTTGAAGGGCACCATACATGCATTTCGCCATTAATTAGTCATGACCACAACAAGTTGGGATATAAAATGATTTTCCAAACAATTGGTCAAATAATTGATGTTGATTCGTCAACACCAATCTCCACAATCATAGCCCACATCCAATTAACAACGGGTTACACTATAACGTACAAGAAGGCCTGACTGGCCAAACAAAAGGCAGTGGAGACCATCTATGGCAATTGGGAGGATTCATATAAGAAGTTGTCTTCTTTCTTATAAGTCATGCAACAATTTGTTCCCAGATTCATCTACAAACTGCAGTTACAACCAACTTACCAAGGTGAGGTCCTTCAACAAAATTCAAATATTTTTAAGCGTGTGTTTTGGACTTAGGCCATGCATAAATAGATTTGTTCACTACAAGCCCATTGTTCAAGTGGACAGAACTTTTCTGTACGGAAAGTATAGAGGTACCTTATTGGTTGCAGTAGCACAAGATGACCGCAACAACATCCTCCTCATTGCGTTTGCAGTGGTCGAAGGTGAAACAAGTGATGCCTAGTTTTTTTTTCTTAAAAAACCTCGAAAGATATGTCACACCCCAACAAGGATTATGTCTCATATCAAACCGACATGAATCCATTAGAAGTGCATACATGAGAAATGGAAGCGGATGGACAGAAAATAATTCAGTGCATATCTATTGCATTAGACACATTGCACATAATTTTATGAGACGTTTCAAAAACACTACACTAAAGAAAGATGTTGTAAATATGGGTAATTCCTTTGCTTCAAATTTGTTACAATTTATTCATTATTTAACTATTGCTAATAAATATTTATATTAACTATGTTTTTTTAATATTGTTGTAGCATATGGGATGACTGAACCACGATTCTACTATTATTACAACATCTTGAGGCAATGTGACATAAAAGCAACTAATTGGTTGGATGAGATACCTATAGAAAAATGGGTATTCACATGGGACAATGGACAACGTTGGAGCCACATGACGACCAACATAGTAGAGTCTATCAACTCTGTTTCGAAAAAAAACAAAAAATCTATCCATTTGCTCCATGGTCAACGCAACGTACACCCGCTGCAACAAATTTTTCAATGAAAGAGGGAGACAGATAGATGTGATGATCAATGTTGGTCATGTATATTATGAAATTTTGGTTACAAATTTAGAGCAAGCACAAACATAGGCGAACACACATAAAGTCATAACTTTTGACAGATCTACCACAAAATTTGTAGTAGAAGAAACACAAAACCCGCGTCAAGTTCGATCAGTAGAGAGGTTTGCAGTTCACCTTGATGAGTTGTGGAGTGACTATGGGAAATTCCATAAATTTCACATGCCTTGTTCACATGTTCTTGCTGCATGCAAGCATGCACACCATGACTTCAACAACTACATTCATCTAGTGTATACCTTACAACAAATTTCAAAGGTATATGAAACACAATTTGGGTTGTTGCGAAATGAACAATATTGACCAACATACACAGGACCTACTTTGTGTGCAAATCCAGAAATGAAAAGAACTTCAAAGGACCGACCAAAATCAAACCGTATAAGAACTGAGATGGATATTACAGAAAATCAAAGTAGGATGAAAAAATGTTCATATTGTCATACCTCTGGTCATTGCATAAGAACATGTCCCAATGTTAAACGTGTATCTACTTCGCATAATTAGATTGTGTTAGTTAAGAAATGTCATAATGTATAAAACTTAAAAGTTTTTCAATTAATAAAATTTCTTCTTTACTTGATCAATTTAGAGTAATTATTTTTTATTTATAGAAATAAAATTATAAAGTATTATATATAAACATATAAATAAATTACTTTAAATATAAATTAAATAATTACAAATACAAAATATATATCAAATTAAAATAAATAAATAACTATTTATAAATTATATATTATAAACTATTTTAAAAAATATTAATTATGTAAAAAAGTCGCAAAATAATCGATCATAATTTAAAATAATCGATTATTTTAAATTATAATCGAATAGTTTAGTTTATAATCGATTATAAATAGTTGCAGGTCTCCTCGCTCAAGCGAGAGCAATAGATTTCTCGCTTGAGCGAGAGTTGACCACAGACTAAAGGTACAACGCAATTAGTCACATCATATAACTTGGGTCATCACATATTTCAATCACTCCTCGCCCGAGCGAAAATTCAATTGCTTAAGCGAAAATTTAATTGCTTAAGCGAAATAGAACTCGACAATACCCATTAGTTGCAGGTCTCCTCACTCAAGCGATGAATTTCTCGCTTGAGCGAGAGTTGACCACAGACTAAAGATCCAACGCAATTAGCCACATAATATAACTTGCGTCATCACATATTTTAATTTATTATCGCTCGAGCGAGAATCCCGTCGCTTGAGCGATATAGAACTCAACAATACTCATTAGTTGCAGGTCTCCTCGTTCAAGCGATGAGTTTCTCGTTTGAACGAGAATTGATCTTACACGAAACAATCGATCATAATTTAAAATAATCGATTATTTTAAAATATGAAATAAATAATATTACAAAAATACTATTTTGGAAAATATTTTTTAAAATGATATTATTTATGAAAAAAAGTATCACATGAGAACATTAAAAATATTCAAATCCTGGTTGAAAAAAAAATATATTTTCTATTCATCTATAAATATGTTAACTATCCTGTTTAATAAAATCAAATTAAAATTTCATTTGAATTGTTGATTTAATTTTTGAAATATTATAATATTATTTATGTTTGATGCCACTTATCTAATCACACATAATTCAAGTCCTTGCCGTGACAAAGAATCAAAGACCAACAAAGACAGAGAATGAATACTATTTATTTTTAAAATTAAAACAGTGTATGAAATTAAAATTTATTAATAACGTTTATTTTTATCATTCAATAATGAATCATAGTATAATTTATTGGTTTTATGTTAAATATTTAATATAAATTATTATAGTTTGAAATTACAAAATACTCTACAATTATATAAAAGTAAAATCTTACTTATTTGTTTGGTAGTCCCATCAAAATTATATATCTCAATTAAGTTACCACTCATAAAATTACTCATTATTTACGACACATTAAATATCAGAATAAAAAAATAAAATAAAATTCATGATAAAATTAGGTGAAAAACTCATTATAAAATTAAGCAAAATAAAAATAAAAATTGAGACACATCTCAAAATAAATAATATCTAATAAAACTAGAATATACCTTCATGAGATAATACCATCTCTCTGTTTAAAATTGTGATATGTATTTTAAAAAAAATGAGAATACATAAAGGTAATAGAAGACTTAATAGCTATGTTTTTCTGTCTTCTCCACATAAAATGCTCAATATTACTATTTTTAAGTCAAGAATATGAATGATTAAGAGAAAGTCATGTTCAATTAAATATTTTATTTTTACATATTAAAAATAATTATCATAGACTTATAGTGATGAGTTTCACTTCGGAAACATTTATATATATATATATATATATATATATATATATATATATATATATCTTTTAATTTTTTTAATTAAACTATTGAAAGTTCCTATTTATATTTAATACAATTAATAATAGGTTAGTGGCTATTTATGGTAATAACTTGAAGTAGAAAAAAATGCATAAATTTTTTAAAGTATTTAATACCACGTAAATCTTTTACATAATTGTTAGGAATATCTTTGAAATAATGCTAAAAATGGTAACTTTATTTTCAACTAAATCTATTATATTTTATCGTATACTAAAATAAAATAAATTACGTATATAATGACTGAGAAGACAATATTCTGTGTTGATTATCATTAATCAACAATTTATTATACCAATTTAACTAAACAACTTTTTAAAACTTCAATAAAATTTTAAAATTTAATAATTAAGGTTTCAATTGAAAAAATAAATATTTGTTATACATAACATGATATTATTTATCTAAATTTGTATTTACTTTATGACCCCAAAATAATATTTTTAATTTTATTTAAAATTGTTTATTATATCTAATTATCTTTTTATTCCCATTTGTATTCCATTTTATTATTTTTTTACCATCAAACTATCCCTATAATTACCGAAGAGTGATAACACCAGTAATACACTATTTGACACATGGTTTCTACTGTACTAGCATTCATTATTTGAATTTTATTTTAAATAAAAATCTGTGAATTAAACGTCAATTATTTATTTTAGACATGTTTTAATAAATTTATCGATACACATTCTTATAATAAAAGTATATATTTTTACAAACTAAAACTGACTTGTCAACAAAGTTATAAAAAACTATTAAAAAAATTCATATAAATTAATTTATACCGAAATTGATGTTGAAATTCTAAAAAAACGTAAAATATAATGTTATGTGTATTTATTTTAGTTTCTATACTCAAAAGTTTGATAGTGTAATATTTAGACGATTAAATTTTATTAAAAATGAAAATTTGTTAATTATGAGTTATCTATAATGGCTGAAAAAACAATGAATATATTTGTGGATAAGTATTTAATAACACTTAATTACATTAGAGACTTATTAGCAAAGCTTAGAACTAGAAGTTATTGAGGAGGTCAAACATCAAAATAATGATTGATTCAACAAGAAAATTACATGATTTACCAATAATATGTTGCACAAAATCTAAAGCAATGCAATTATTTATTTCAAGTAGCAAGTGGCCAGGCTCGCGCGTGGCTTCCAATGCAGAGGAGTCGCGTGGTGAGTGGTAGACGCGTTAACACCAAGCATGCAATTCTGAGCTGAAAAAAGGCTACTCCCTCTTTCTTATGTTCTCTCTCTTACTTCCTACACCACATCACTCACTTTCTCTCTCCTTCTCTCTATGTCTTCTTCCTCACATCAAACGTAGAATTTTTTTTTTTTTTTTTAATTTTTACCCAATATTCACTCTCGCTAAGTGGTAAGCAGCATATTTGGTCAATACTGTATTTTATGTTGGTTTTCTCCTTTAATCCAATAAATGGCCCTTGAGATCTTGCAATTGGAGCTTCCATTTTAGCTGGTTGCCCAATCTTTTTCTTGTTAGATCGACCCCTTTCATTTACTTAACTGGGAAAAGCTTCTTCTGATTTTTCTCTACAAAAAAAAATGCTTATTTTTGGTGGGGGATTTTGATAAGCTGTTTTGTCTCTGTTCAGGTATATCTGGGGAAGTTTGATTTGGGAAATGAACAAAGGACAGTCACCTGAGCCTCTTGATTTCTTCATCTGGACTGTTGAGGTTAATCATTTATCTCCCTTACTTAATTGATGTACTTATTCTTGTTTATTATTTATAATTTCCAGTAACAAAAACTATTCCTTGTGATCCCCTTTCATGTGATTTGTACTGTGATTAGGTTTCTTGCAACAGTTAGTTTAACTATTGTTGGGCACATAACTTGAACTTTCTCCATGGTAGTCCGTTTTGTGATACTCATTTGTTTCTCTGGTAACAAGTAAAAGCGGAGATTAAGCTTTGTTCTTAGAAGTCGGAAAATTTGAACATAGTGTTGTCTAGTCAAGTTGGAAATTTGGTGGGTGATGTTGAGGTCCTTCTCAGCTTGGAAATAATTGGCTAATCAAGCTTGTGCGGGCATTATTTCATTAGTTCTGAATCTCATCTTCTCCCTATTATTGTCACAAGTTGTCTGGTATTTCTGTTGAGTTTTCAATTCTTGCCAGATAATATTGTTCAATTCTTCAGTTTGACACGCAGTTTCTAAGATCATTCAAAAAGTGAGGGGTTTAACATAATTCTTCAAGGAAATAATAAATTACATGGACTGCTTACTCACTCTTTTGTGCAGCACAAGCATACGTGTAAATCTTCATCTGATGAGTTCCCACTGCAAAACTATATGCATCTCTCTATGATCATTGGATTTTTAAACTTGCTGCAACTATCCTTTGGAAACACAGCATCTGAAACTAGATTGCCTGTATATTACTTATCTTGATTATGACCTTAGTCCGTGTTCCTCTGTCAGTGATGTGGCAAGCTTAGGATTTATCTTGTTGTCAATTACTCTGCTAAGTATGTTATGAAGCCCATATAACTGAATTGTAAACTAATATAGATAAAGAGGTCTCGTTATTCACCTTTGATTTGTGTGTCAAGATCTCAAGATTGCGGTATTATTTTACTCCTCGTGTATTGTGTCAAGTGTTTAGTACATGCTTGTTCAACACTGTTTTATAGGTCTAGACTCTTTAACATAATCAATGACTGATATTATGTAGTCTGGAATGTCTCCACATATTTTCATTTATGTTGCTAACTGTATGATGTATTGTGCAAATTACACAAGAGTTTATGTTGACAAAGGTCTAAGCTTGGTGAATATACCCTTTTGATTTACTTTTTCTTGGTGAATATAAAATGTAGGTGCTGTTATACAGGGTATTATTTAGTGCATCTCCATGGCAGAGTAAAAATGTTGCCGATAATTTAAACCAACAGCTGCATTCTTTCTAATCTCGTGTGTTTTATCAGGATGTTGGCTTGTGGTTAGAGACTATAAATCTTGGTAGTTACCGCCAAATTTTTAAAGAAAATGGTGTTAATGGAGAATACCTGGAAGGCATGTCCATGTTTACGACTGAACAGATCCTACGTTTTATAAGACGTTGCCACATGAAGTGGGGAGACTTCATCACATTGTGCAAGGAATTGAGACGGATTAAAGGTCTCTCTCTCTCCTCCCTCTTTTAAACAGTAAATAGACAAACACTAGTCAATAAATTCTCATTTGAAATTTTCATTTTAACCTATCTGTTTTGTGCTCCTCCCCTGGTTAGATAAGGCATGATCATTGATGTTATCACAATCATTTTGCTCTATTTGAACAATCCAGAAGGAAACATGGATATACTAGAAGAAAGATTCATGTAGACGTCTAGTATTACTGTATTAGTGTGAGATATATCTAGAATTTTGATAACTTGCCTATTGGCTGTTGGTGCTGCTGTCATTTCATCACAGACAACAACCATTAAAGGGTCTCATCATAACACTTATGTTGTGAATTACATTTTCTAAAGAATATTCTTACTGATATCTGGGTTTTTAGACAAACAGAAGATTATCAGAGGAATCATTCGGTAAGAAAGATGTCTTATGGAGGGCTCCTTTGGAAACAAAAAAGGCTGAATCAAATATAAAATTAATGATTTTTTTTAAGGGCTAAATTATATTATTATACAGGGTGAAGTCATCCATAACATTATTGTCAAGACGTCCATTCCTAAACATGTGATATGTTTATACATAAGGAGACATGAAATGTGCATATATGCCTCTTGTGTTTGTTGTGTTGTGACTTTTCTTGCAAGATGATATGTTCCTGTAACAACATTAAAAAAGAGGAGTGGGTGTTTACCCCCAGTAAAGTTGAAAAATAAAAGGCTTTATCTGTTACCTGATCCTAACCTGTGGAGGCCATGTTGATGTCTGTAGTGGCTTGTCTGAAAGGGGAGCAGAAGGTGCGGCGGCCATGGTGGGCACCAGCATGCCTATCCACAGTGTTCTTAAAGGTTGCAAAATCCAACAGACAATCAAGAGTTGTTTCCTTGAAGCTGGAACCATGATACGATAAATCTCTCCATCTGTACCAGTGTACGTATAGCAAATTTCTTTTTGCCTAGAAAACAAAAGATAGGAAAGAACTTTTTCTAGTCCTTTTTTTTAATTTTATATATATATATATATATATTTTTTTTTTTCTTTGGATTCCAAAAGCTGGTTGTTTCTTCTCCTCTGGAGAACTGTTATGTAGTAGAAGATCCTTGTGCACTAATTTCCAGTGCTGTGTAATTATGTATTCTCTTATATGTGAACGAAAATAGTACCATATATGCCGTTTCTCTTCAACTATTACCCCCTATTTCAATGTCATCATTTCCCTGTGTTAGTTAAACGATTTGATATTTTCTCAACACATGTGGACCTGCGAATTCTTAACCCTTCAGTAATACAACAAGACAATTATGAAATGAAATACAATAACTCGTTTACCATGACCTTTTCGTATATTTCTCATCTTGAAAATGAAAACAGTGCACAACAACACGATGATTAGGATGTTTTCTCCTTGGTAAAAAAATTGTTATGAATTTCAGTTTTTGATTTAGATGAAGAAATTTAATAAGATGATTCATTTTTCTGAGAATTTAAAATGTTTTATAGTTATAATTCTTCCAATACTGAAAAGAGGAAATTAAATACTTGGAAGATTAAATACATCGTTATTAATTTTTTCTTACCTTTATGTAGTTTTCCATGCCTCTGCTTTTTTTTTTTCGTTTCCTCTCTTCACTGTCTTTCTTCTCCTCTTTCACATGTATCCTCTATTTTTCTCCTTCTCTCCCCTTCCCTATCTCGCACTATTTATGTGTTTTTTTTCTCTTTCATTTGTCTTTTTTTTAATCTCTCTTTTCTTAATTAATATGATAATATTTATATTTTAATTATCAGATATATTTTATATTATCTTTAATTGATAAATATTTAAAATTAATATTTATATTTATAAAGTTTAATATTAATATTTCATTAATAAATATATATTTAATTTTTGTTTCATATAATTAAATTACCCATCTAAATTTTAAATTTTAAAAAATATAATTGACTAAACAAAATATTTTACACAAGTAAAAAAAAATTGAATTAAAACATTTCAATTTCAAACATTTCTGAAAAGTTTGAACCCAAACACAGCGCAACTGTAATGAATGTTACTCCTAATTTTATGTTTTTTACTAAAATTTATGATCGACACTGTAAAATAATTTTACATTTGATGTGTAGAACTATTTTACATTAAGAAGGCATATATTTCTCTTTTTTTCGTCTAAATTTTAACTTAACATTAAGAAAATACAACGATCTGAATGAAAAAATATATTAGTAATATTTCTTTCGAAAATGAAGTTTTTTTTTTAATAAGTAAGTTTTTTATCAGATTTTGAAAGATTCCATTATTAAAAAAAAACTTAATTTTTTGTATACAATAATTTTTGCTATGAACATACAATTACTTTTTATATTCGATTATAATAGAAGAAAGTGTGAGAATAAAATAAAATAAAATGAAAATTATATTTAGTAAAAAACAAAAAGTTATTTTAAAAATAATAAATAAAATAAAATAATTATAAAATTATTCATATAGTTATTTTTATAAAAATAAGAAGAGATTAATTTAAAAAAATAACTTATATATATATATGAGTAAATAAAATATAAGATAAATAAAAAATAATATGTTTTTTATTATTTTATTTATTATCAAATTGATTCTTTTATTATTTTAACCAACCTTTTTGCATTTTATACTTTGTGATCAAATACATATTTAGAGTGTGCTTATATTTACCTAAAATGTAAAACTAAAAGGTAATCATATTTATAACTTATTTTTCATTTATCCAGTGGTTTATTGACTTTGAATAATTTTATAAAACAGATAGTTTAACCATCTTTTATTTCAAGTTTTTTTTTTCATTTAAAAAAAATAAAGACATGTCAGTGGATATTTTATCACACTTAAAAATGACTAAAATGCAGTATCATGGTTACATGTCTTCCTTTTCCCTCTCGTGATTCAAATGGCGAAAACCCCATAAACCCTAACATCTGGTGCTACTGAGTGATCGTCATGTTTTCTTGCGGAACGAAGAAGAGCAATGCTCGCCCTCGGAGAGACCAAGGTCACGGTTCCGCGGTGGCAGATTCTCCGGTGACTCCTGCGCGAACCTCTTTCAACGACAGCGCCGTTCCCAATCGCCCTAGCTCCGGCACTCCCGCTCCTTGGGCTCCTCGTTTATCTGTCCTTGCCAGGTACATGTTCATTGGCTTCTCCACCAAAATCTGCATCGATAATCGCCTTCTGCTTCTAACTGTTTTCCGTTTCCTTTGCGTAGGGTCCCCCAGGTCAACCGAAGTGGAAAAGGAGACGACGTAGATCCTATCAAACCTGTTTTCGTTGGCGAGTTTCCACAAGTGGTTCGAGATGAGCAGAACTTTTTGTTACACAAGCGAATTCCTGGTGAGAACAATTTGACTTGTCTCTTTATTGCGTTAGTTGGCACGTGTTTTAATTCCTTCTGATTTGAAGTAAATTAAGTTTGATGTGTCTGAGATTATGGAGTAATGCAATGCAGCTGAAGATCGCGCATGTGGTGGAATTGACAAGAGCACATCACTCGCCTGGATTATTTGCCGAAACAGGGTCTACCTTTGGAGTTATCTTTCCCCCGCATCCTCCATGAAATGCGTTGTCCTTGAAATTCCTCTAAATGATGCTGATGTTAGCAGAAACGACGCAGGTAGTTGGCTGCTTCGTGTTGTTAATTGGGATGTGGCGTCTGTAGGAAGGAATGAGGTTGCGAAACAGTGCAGCTCGGCTGCAGTGATTTTGTGTAATTGTCAAACTCGAGCTGTTATTTATTGGCCGGACATTTATTCTCAGCCGCTTGCTCCAGTAACTAGTCTAGCATCTACCGATGAGCTGGGGTCTATTTTTACTCCTGATGGGAAAACGTCCTTCAACAGGCAGCGGCGACAAAGTAAGATGGGAAGTTGTTTGAGTGGGTTGCACTCGCTTAACTCTATGATTGCTTCTACTGTTCCCAGGTGTAAGTTTGTATGTGTTGCCCTTGCATGTAGTTCAAGTGGTGAACTGTGGCAGTTTCAATGCACTCCTACTGGCATTCATCGAAGGAAAGTATATGAAAATATTATGCATTTTCATCCTCAACGTGGTGAATCAGGTCAAAATGTGAGCAATGTTGGGTACCCAAGATCTCTGACTTGGGGTTTCCCGCATTATTCTATTCAGGAAACAAATCGGCAGTTCTTGGTATTGACAGACCATGAGGTACAGTGTTTCAGAGTAGTGCTTGATTCTGACATACCTGTTTCAAAGCTTTGGTCTCAGGAAATTGTTGGAACAGATGCTGAGGTTGGCATTAAGAAGGATCTAGCTGGTCAAAAGAGAATCTGGCCTCTTGATATGCAAGTCGATGATCATGGTAAAGTCATTACTATTCTTGTTGCAACCTTCTGCAACGACCGGATTAGCAGTTCAAGCTACATGCAGTATTCTCTCCTGACCATGCAATATAAAGCAGGGCTGGGTTTAGAGGCAACAAATGAAAAGGTTTTGGAGAAAAAAAACCCTATCGAGGTGATAATGCCAAAAGCTAGAGTTGAAGATGAAGATTTCTTGTTTTCCATGAGGCTTCGGATAGGGGGCAATCCTTCAGGATCTACAGTCATAATATCTGGGGATGGAACAGCAACTGTCTCCCATTATTATAGAAACTCTACACGACTCTATCAGTTTGATTTACCCTATGATGCTGGGAAAGTACTAGACGCTTCAATCCTTCCTTCTGCAGATGATTACGAAGAAGGTGCATGGGTTGTGTTAACAGAAAAAGCTGGAATATGGGCAATACCAGAGAAAGCTGTCATTCTTGGTGGAGTGGAACCACCTGAGAGAAGCTTATCTCGGAAAGGCAGCTCTAATAATAGATCTGCACAAGAAGAGATAAGAAATCTTACATTTGCTGCTAATGTTGCCCCCAGAAGGGCTAGCTCTGAAGCATGGAGTGCTGGGGATAAACAGAGGACGGTTTTGAGTGGGATTGGTCGTCGAACTGCACAGGATGAAGAATCAGAAGCGTTATTGAATAATCTTTTCAATGAATTTTTATCATCTGGCCAAATTGATAGGTCTCTTGAGAAGCTAGAAACTTCTGGTTCATTTGAAAGGGATGGGGAAACCAATGTTTTTGTTCGGATGAGCAAATCAATTATAGACACCCTAGCTAAACATTGGACAACAACCAGAGGTGCAGAGATTTTGGCTATGGCTGTTGTTTCCACCCAACTCTTAGAAAAGCAACAGAAACATCAAAAGTTCCTTCATTTTCTTGCCTTGTCCAAATGCCATGAGGAGCTGTGTTCTAAGCAAAGTATGAAACCTATAGTCTATTCACCAAAAGTTCATTTGCTTTTTCTTGATCTTCGAACTATTTCTTTTACCATACTTTCTTATCCAACTAACTTGTTTAATCATCTTTGAATTGGTCCTTCGATGTTATACAACGTGGATGTGTGGATCCATATAAGCTTAATTTATCTGTCAACAATTAATTAGCTTCCTCTTTGTTACAGATTGTGCTGATGGTAAAACAATCGTACTTTTTAGGATTACATTGTGCAAAGTATATCATAAGTAACAGTAGAGAGTGTTTATTCACTAATAGCTTTTTGACTTTTATAAATTGGGTCAGTGGTTATGAATCTAATGTTCCTTTGACTCAGCATCATGTATGAAAAAAAAGTCAAAGGAATGCAGCTTATGCTGTGGCTAGATGAATAGAGGCTTTCCTTATTTCTTAACCTCACATGTGAGTTTAAAAAAAAAAATGTAAGCTTGATAATAGAGGGAAGTAGTAAATGAAATTCTAAAACAGATTTAGTTGTTGACTAGATGACTTTTGTAGTTTCGATTTTAGGTATGCACAAGGATTCTTAATTCTTGTTGTGGTTTGACTTCTAAGGGTGGGATTGTATGTGAAGGCACATTTTATTCATGATTTTGTTAACTGTTATGTTTTTCCAGCCCATTGTTTTAATTGATGAAACAGATTAAGGTAGTGAATAAATAATTATAGGTTCACGTAAAATGCAAGATACAACAGCACACTCACAGCACAAATGGACATTCCATGACTAAATGATGCTTTTTTATTGCCAGGACATGCCTTGCAAATTATTTTGGAGCATGGTGAAAAGCTATCTGCAATGATTCAGCTGAGGGAGCTACAAAATCTGATCAGCCAAAATCGATCAACTAATGTTGACTCCTCAAATTCTAGTTTGGACTTTCAGATGTCAGGTGCCCTTTGGGACATGATACAATTAGTTGGTGAGAGAGCTCGTCGAAATACTGTTCTTTTGATGGATAGAGATAATGCGGAAGTGTTCTACAGTAAGGTTTCAGATCTTGAAGATCTCTTTTACTGCTTAGATAAAGAGTTAGAATATGTAATAAGACCAGAGCATCCGTTAGCAATCCAGATCCAGAGGGCATGTGAACTCTCTACTGCATGTGTTACCATAATTAGGACTTGCTTCAACTATAAGAATGAGAACAGGTTATGGTATCCTCCACCTGAGGGTTTAACACCTTGGTATTGTCAACCTATTGTACGGACTGGGATTTGGAGTGTTGCTTCAGTTCTTCTTCACTTGTTAAATGAAATATCTGGACTTGATAAAACCGCAAAATTAGACTTTTATAATAATTTGGTAGCACTAACAGAAGTTCTACTTGAGGCATATTCTGGTGCTGTTACAGCTAAGAATGAGTGTGGAGAAGAACACAGAGGTCTGATAAATGAATATTGGGAGAGGCGAGACACCCTTCTTGAATCTCTATATCAAAAAGTTGAAGAATTTGAAGATGCTCACAAGGTTATTATTATTTTTGTTTATCTTGTCCTTGCCATCCTGATGTGGAATTGATATATATTGTTCAATTGGTGTTTTTTGCAGGATTCCTTTGAACTAGCTGAAGAGCAGACTGACGAGACCATAATGAAGGTTACTTCACATCTGCTATCAATTGCTAAACGGCATGGGTGTTACAAAGTTATGTGGACAATTTGTTGTGATGTGAATGATTCAGAATTACTGAGAAATATTATGGTATGGCTTTGATTTTTATTCTTTGTTGTTGTTGAATATAGAGAAAATAGGGTTTGGAATTAATTTCCCTTGTGTATAAATCACACATAGGGTGGTCTATTTATAGTAGAGAGATACAACTAAAAGAGTAACTGAAAGTAACAGAATAAACAGAAGATATTGTGGTTACCAATATCTAACAATATCTTAACAATATCAAATAATATCTAAACAATATCTAACACTCCCCCTCAAGCTGGAGCATACAAATCGTATGTGCCAAGCTTGTTACAAATATAATCAATTTTAGGACCACGTAAAGATTTAGTAAAAATATCTGCTAACTGATCACTTGAATTAACAAACTCGGTCTTGATATCTCCGGACATAATCTTTTCTCGAATAAAATGACAAGTCAATCTCAATGTGTTTGGTCCTCTCATGAAAGACAGGATTAGAACTAATATGAAGAGCGACCTGATTGTCACACACAAGTGTCATTTGAGTGACATCTCCAAATTGTAACTCTCTAAGCAATTGCTTGAGTCAAACAAGTTCACGAGAAGCTCGAGGTCATAGCTCTATATTCTGCTTTTGCACTTGGATCTTGTCACAACACTTTGTTTCTTACTTTTCCATGAAATCAAGTTACCACCAATGGAGACACAATATCCGGATGTAGATCTTCTATCCGAAGGAGATCCCGCCCAATCGACATCTCGAGTAGCAAACAACCGCTTTATGGTTATTAGAACCATATAACAATCCTTTTCCAGGAGATCCTTTAATATACTTCAAGATACGAATGACTCGCATTCCAATGATCTTCACATGGTGAATTAAGAAATTGACTTACCATACCGATCGCAAAGGAAATGTCGGGACGAGTAACTGTAAGATAATTTAATTTTCCAACCAATCTTCTATACTCGCTCAGGATCGGATATAGGCTCCCCCGATTTGGTAGAAGTTTAGTATTGGGATCCATGGGTGAATCAACAGACTTTGAACTCATCAACCCAATTTCCTCCAAAATATCTATGGCATACTTCCTCTGAGATATAACAATACCATCATTGGACTGTGCTACCTCAATACCCAAGAAATATCTAAGTTTGCCAAGATCTTTGGTCTGAAATGGTGACAGAGATGTTGTTTCAACTGAGAGATGCCATGGTTGTCACTACCTGTAAGAACAATGTCATCAACATATACTATCAAGTAAACACATCCAGCACTCGAGTGTCGATAAAAGACAGAATGATCTGATTCACACCGAGTCATACCAAATTGTTGAACAACCTTGCTAAACTTTCCAAACCAAGCCCTAAGAGACTGTTTTAGGCCATATAGGGATTTGCGAAGATGACATACCATCCCAGAAGACTCCCTTGAGCAATAAACCCAGGAGGTTGTTCCATATATATTTCTTCTTGCAAATCACCATTGAGGAAAACATTTTTAACATCCAGTTGATAAAGAGGCCATTGTTGAAGAGCAGTCATGGCGATAAATAAACGAACAGAAGCCATCTTTGCCACAGGGGAAAAGGTATCTCCATAATCCAACCCAAAAATTTGAGTATATCCTTTGGCCACAAGACGAGCTTTGAGGTGATCAATAGTACTATCAGGTCCAACTTTGATAGCAAACACCCACTTGCAACCAACAACAGATTTCCCAGACGGTAACGGGACCAATTCCCAAGTTCCACTATTATGAAGAGCACTTAGTTCATCTAACATGGCCTCACGCCAACCAGGATGGGCTAAAGCTTCACGGACAGTTTTTGGAATGGTCACAGAAGAAATAGAGGAAAGACATGTATAAAAAGATAATGACAGTCGATGATAACTCAAAGCAATATAATAGGGAGAGGGATTACGTGTAGAACGAATACCTTTTCGGAGGGCAATGGGAAGGTCAGACTCATGTGTCAGATCCGGAGGAGACAGAGTAGTTGACACTTGAGTAGAGTCACATGGTGGTGGTTGTGATTGGTTTCGAGAACTATAAATCTGAAGAGGCAGTGGAGAAGAAGCTAACTGCGGAGCAGGAACTAATGGTGAAGAAGACACAGTTAGAGGGTCACAAACAACAGGAACATTAAATGTATTAGTGTTAGAATCGCGCAGCGGAATGTTCGCGTGGTCGGACAAAAACCAAGAGGGGGGGTGAATTGGTTTCTTAATGAAAATTAGGTTTTCAAAATTTTCCCCAAATTTTACCGATTAAAAACTGCGTAAATGTAAATAAAGAAGAGTAGAGAAGATTACACAGTAGGTTTATACTGGTTCGGATCAAAAGACCCTACGTCCAGTTGCTAATCACTCAAAAGAGGATTAACGCTGTCACTAAGAACAAATTGTTATAAATAGATTACAAATCAAAGAGATAAAGTAAAGACAACACCTCTCTTGAAATCCACAAGAGATGAAGAACAGCTTTCCCTAGAGACGGCACATCACACAATCCACTAAGAACTCCACTTAGTGATTCTTATCGCTTCTAGCCTCACACCGAGTTCCAAAAGCCCCCTTTCCTTGCAACAAACAGCTTCTCCGGCACTCACAAGCACTTAACTTTTGTATGGAAAGAGTTGTTCTTAATTTTTCCGAGTGCCAAAGCAGAGTTTAAGTAGGGAAATTAGGGTTTAGGAATTGGGGATTTCGAAACTAGGGTTCTTGGTAATTGGGTTTTCGAAAATAGGGTTTGTTTGAAGTTTAAAATCGAAACAGATCGGAATAATCGATTAAATGGAGTTTTAATCGATTAAAACAGAGCCAAATACGTCAGACCCCAATCCTCTTCGGTTTAATCGATTATTTGGTGAAATAATCGATTATCCGTACTGAACAGTACGAAATAATCGATTATTTTGCTTTTTAATCGATTAAAACGATGACTTAGTATAGAAAGTGGTTTTCTCATCTGTTTTAATCGATTATTTACCTATATAATCGATTAAAGCCGAGCCTGCATGATAAATTTGAGCATTTTGAAGCATCTAAGTTATAGACTATGTACTCGGCTATCTTAGACTCTATAATTACGGACTCAATCAAACTAAAACAGAGTTATTACAATACAGAAATCATCAATCTTCAATCTTCAATACTCTAAGTCTTTAAGCTCTTGGATCATCATCAAAATCAACATTCTTCATGATCATTATTTGCAACATCAAGTTCTTGAATGTTCAACAATCTCCCCTTTTTGATGATGATCAAAATTATCTTTTTAAAGCCCTTGTAATAACCTCGTTTTATCCGTCATACTAACAAACACATTAAACATACCGGATAACATTTAATATTGAATTATAGGCTTTAAATTTTTCTCCCCTATTTTGATTATAATCAAAAAGAACCTCGCAACATCAATCATAAGAGCTCCCCCTCAAAATATGCATAAGTTAGAGAAAGCTCCCCCTCAATCATAGCATGAAAGAAACATCATATTTTACAACATCAAGACAAAAACCAAAGAAAATTCATCAATTATCTCTACATTAGACAACTTTAATCGATTATTTCCAGTAAATAATCGATTATTAGAGGCATTTAATCGATTATTTCACGAGATAATCGATTATTCCGAAGGAGAATACCCTGTTTTGGACGTTTTGAGGAAAAATAATCGATTATCACTTCCGAGAATCGATTATTCTAGAGGCTATATTAAGTTTTTAAGGTTTTTACACATTATAACCTATGAATATCCTGCATCACGAATTTAATAACAATCATCCAAAATCATTCAAATTAAGCAGAATTTAAGCTATTTCTAGTATCCCTAAGTCTCTTCGAAGATCATAGAATCTATCCTTGGGTAGAGGCTTAGTAAATATATCTCGCTAATTGACGTTTAGTATCTACATACTCTATCTTACAGCTTTCCTTTGCTGATATTATCTCTTAAAAAGTTATGTCTAATCTCAATATGTTTAGTCCTAGAGTGCATTATCGGATTTTTAGTTAAGTTGATTGCACTCGTATTATCACACATTAATGGAATGTCATTTAAATATATGCTATAATCCTCTAATTGTTGTTTCATCCATAGAATTTGAGCACAACAACTACCAGCTGCAATATATTCAACTTCAGTGGTAGATAAAGCTACACATGCTTGTTTCTTAGAATGCCATGATATTAAGGATGAACCCAACAAATGACATGTCCCACTAGTGCTTTTCCTATCAATTTTACATCCACCATAATCAAGCATCGAATATCCTAATAAACTAATACAAGCATCGGACGGATACCACAAGCCAAATCCAAGTAGTTCCTTTTAAGTATTTTAAAATATGTTTTACTCGCAATTAAATGAGATTCTTTAGGACAAGCCTGAAATCTAGCACACACACGTACGTAATGCATAATATCGTGTCTACTAGCGGTTAAGTATAATAGTGATCCTATCATACCTCTATACATAGTTTGATTTACTTCCAAACCTGATTCATCCTTGTCTAAATAGCATGAAGTTCCCATGGGTGTGTTAGCTTCCTTTGAGGTGTCCATATCAAACTTTTTGAGGATCTCTTTGCAGTATTTAGTTTGAGAGATAAAGGTTCCATCTTTAAGTTGCTTGATTTGAAGTCCAAGGAAGAATGTTAATTCTCCCATCATAGACATTTCAAACTCTCCCCGCATAATCTTAGCAAATTCCGGCCACAGGAGCATAAGTTTCATCATAATCTATACCTTCCTCCCGACAATAGCCTTTTGCAACAAGTCCGGCTTTATTCTTTGTTATATTACCATCTTCATCAAGCTTATTTCCGAATACCCATTTAGTTCCAATAACTTGATGTGACTCTTCTCTTGGGATTAGTTCCCGGACTTGATTCCTTTCAAATTGGTTAAGTTCTTCTTGCATGGCTATGCACCATTGATCATCTTTAAGTGCTTCCTCAATGTTTTTAGGTTCAATCTGTGACACAAAAGCAACTGACATACGGAAATTATTCATATTTCTAGTTCTTACCCCTTTTGAGATATCACCTATGATATTGTCCATTGAGA